CTGAGAGCCACTAACAACAAGCTTGGAAAAATCAGAAATTAGGTTTTACCTTCTCTCCTCTCACAAGTCTTTTTCTTTTCCTCTTCTTTTTAGAATTGCCGTAAAATTCCAATACCCTGAAATGCCTCAGTTATCAAGATGGTTCACCCAGGATCTGCTGAGGTGATGAGGTGGAGTTGTCCATTCCCCTCACTCCAGGAGGCAGACGTTAGGTGGACAGAGTAATTCAGTTACAGACAATTAGATAATTGTGATACAATTCCTGCAACTGGATTTATTTCCTCGTCTCAAGACAAGGTCTTGAAATAGAGAAAGATGAAGAGGGTTGGGTGGTTTCACCTCATCTAAGGAAGCCTTCACTTGAGTGCTGTAAGATTTGAGTTCAGTTGGTGTGGTACTTGTTGCACCTGGAATAAGAGCTGGTAGTTTTTGATTTTTGTAAAATATATTCTCCTAGTTCTCCTTCTGTTGAAGTGCTCCTGGCAATAAGTACCTCAGTGTCATGGCCTGCCAACACGGTGTGTTGAATCAAATGAAACTTTTAGACCTAAGATAACGCAGAAACGTCCTGAATCCTTCCAGTAGACTCCTCCTGTTCTAATAAAAATGAAATAAATATAATAAAAATGAAATAAATATAATAAAAATGAAATAAATATAATAAAAATGAAATAAATACAATAAAAATGCCTTGGCATTTCCCTTGAAGTGCACAGTATTATGTCCTTCATTATTTATCACAGAACATGGCAGACACCTGTACATTGATTTGTTGGGCAGGAAAAACATCCCAAATGCAGAAATACCATTTCTTCTCTTCAACAAAACCAGAATCTGACAGGAATAAGCTGTATCTCAGACCTTATTAACTTAATAAATGCTGTCACCATATTAATAAGCCCTCCCTGGCTCTCAGACATGTCCCTCACTATTCCTTTTAGCCCACCACTGACTCTTCCAAGGCAACAAACGGTGTTTGGGGAGTTTCCCCGCCCTGGGATCAGGCTCCAGCAGTGATGCTGGTGACTCCTGCATTAGTGGGGTAACCAGTGGTGGCCCTGCACTGTCACACTCTGGCTCTGCTCCCAAAGTCCCCCTGGCAAAGGTCAGGAAACCTGCCAGAGCTCCGAGGTTTGACCCAAACCCCCGGGGATGGGGTTACAGCCATTGCATCACTCTAATCAACAAAATAGGAGCTGCTTTTCATCAACAGTTAATCACAGGACTTCACTTGTCTCTAAGTCCCTTCAGTTGCCTTGACAGATGAGAGCACAATAATATAAATAAGAAATGACAGTTTACCAAAGAAGGTTAACATAAGATCACGACCTTTTTCTACTTGACTTCTGCAGCTTATTCATGTGTGAAAACACGCTTTTGTAGCTGTAGCCTCAGCATCCCTTACAGATCTGGACCTGTGCCAACAACTGAGCTTTAAAATTACCATTTAAAATACCATTTTACATGGTATTTATGTTCAGAAAATACCATTTCTGCATTTTGCGATGCTCGAGTAGAGCTGTTTCGCATTAGAATAAAATATGAAACGAGGATATCTCTGCATTTCACAGCCTATCTCGCTGACAGAGTGGCACCTCTGCTCCACAAACAAGGAGCTGTTGGACACACACCCATTTCCTCTCCTTTCCTCAGACCAGGTCACACCTTTCTGCAGGTCACAGCCCGTGCCCAGGCTGCCCCAGGAACACCACACGGATGCACAGGGCACGGCACCAGCCTGACAGTCCTACATGAGTAGATGTCAAATATTAATTTGTCACATTATTTGTGCAGTGATTGAAAGCCAAATCCCATCTCATCATTCATTTCCATCAGGCACACGAGGAGCGGGAGGGAAGCAGGAGCTTTCTGTCACAATCTGTAATGCCTACGCCAGGCGCTGCCAGGAAATATTTCTCTGTCAGAGAAGCAAACTGAAGTTCTGAGCATGAAGGCTGGAGAGTGAAAGCTGCAGTACAACATGGAGATAATTAGTTTTGAAAGGCTAATCAGGTCACTGCTCTGGCTGGCATTTCTGTGGAGATGCACAGGCCTGCAGCTCACCACAGCCTGCCTCTCGATTCAAGCATCCCTCACCAAAGTGAAGTAAGACTTTACAAACCACATAACTCTGAATGACATATCCTGCCATAAGAACCCCCAAACAGTCAGGAAAGATCCCTACAAATAGCCAGGAAATATCTCTGGAGCCCTTGGAATGAGGATAGACCCCACAGCACTGGGTGTCCCAGGCTGTGCTGCTCAATCCCCTTCCCCAGGTGGGTCCAACCAGCCACAGAATCACTCAAGAAGGAGAAGGTTTGATCAAAGCTTATAGCAATAACTATTTTAAGATTATCTCACCTATTTTATGCTGTTGTCTTGTGCGTATTCATGGAGCCTTGTATCTTGCACACACCTCTGACCCCCTAGAAGGTGGAGATGCTGAGCACTGTCAGCTCCTTCAAGCTGTGAAATTAGGCCTTTGGGTCTCCAAAAGAAATCGCTCACAAACCCCCAGCAACGCCTGATCAAAACAGCAGTGCACTTCAGCACATTGCTGGTTAGTGAATCTTTATCCATTTTCCCTTCCTTAGCACGAAACAGCTACAAAATATTTTTAAAAACCCAACAGTTCTTTCCTGACATCTCTCCCTTTTGTCAGAAGGATGCTCTATTTTGTTTCTGAAAAACACGATCAATCTTTCTAGCAATAACGACTTGCTGAATAAAATCTGTGCTACTTCCATGCTGCTTTTCTAACAATACACCTTATTTGTACCCTGGCTTATAAAAAAACAACAAAAAAAACCCCATACACTGATCGATCATTGCAGGCACCACTGAAATAAAACCAACCATGAGACAAATAATGGGAGCAGAACAATAGTGCACATCTATTTAACGCCTGAGTTTAGACTAAGGGGTAACATAAAGCACAATGATGCTATAAAGGCAGAAAGAATAGAACAACCCAGAACAACAATAAACTTTATTCCTCCAAAACCACTGGTTAACCTGAATGAGGAGCTTTTTTACTCCCATCTGCAAAAACAACTCCTTTGAGCAACGCAGAGGATTTAATAAAACCCCAGTTCACGCCCTGGAAGCCCTTCCAGCAGCACATGCAGTGTTTTGGGGTGCTCACTTTTCCCTCACGTAGTAACCAACCACTCAGTTACTCACATTGTAACACCTGGTGGCCAGAAGTTGGCTGAAATTTGCCTCCTTGCAGGTCAGTACAGCCAAATTCTCCCTGCCATTGTCACCTCTGTAAAAGTTGAAGTGTATTTAGTGACACCACCACGTTCACTCTCTTCTGTGACTTTGAGGGTTTCCAGATCATTGTGGTTTTCCATTTTTGCCTGAAGATTTCAAAAAAATGGCTTCAAAACAGCTAATAACATATTCATTTGAAACTCCTGGTCAGATAAAATATCGTACAAAAACCAAATACCTTAAGCTCTGTTTGAGTTTTTAAAGACTGTGCAAATGCCAGAATTTAAAGTGTATTGTAAGAATTGAATTGTGCAGAAGGAACACTAATTTGACTAACTTATCAAAATAAGACTAGTCTAAAGGAAAAATGACTCTTGCATGCTAAGGATTATAATGAGTAGGACTCCTGCTTTCAAAAACCTTGGGGTTTGGACAACTTTCATGCACTGAAAGCAGTAAGAAGTCATCAAAACACAGATCTGTGCACTGGCTCATGGGCTTATTGCCAGTCAGTCCCCCAAAGAGGCAAGAGAGGTGAAGTAGCAGGGATCTGTGAATCATAAATGATATTCCTGGGCTGTGCTCTCCAAAGGCTGAAATGAAAACGTGGAGGACCATAATTAAATACTTCAGTCAAAATAGCATAACCATCTACAGCTTATTTACACTGTCAAGGTGGATTTCAACTCATAGGTTGCCATAGAAAATAATTCCATCATTTTTTAGGAAAAAAAGGAGCGCAGCCACATAAATTATAAAGTTAGGGTAAATCATATGACCACAGGCAAGGAATACAGTGTTTTACACAAACCATAAAAAGCAGTTGGACAATGGTAAAATGAAATCTTGGAAGAAAGGAATTTGTGAGATACTGTGCAATGGGAAAAGCCAGAGGACACAGCGTCCTGTGAGAAGATGATAATACAGTTCACGAAAAGCTGCCCCGAGATGAAAAAAATATCACCACTGATGCATTTACTGCAGCAGTAAATGCAGGGCAGGTGCAACCCAGGCACACAGCAGAGCACAGCAGATCATCACGTGGCAGCACATCCCCGTTACCTGCTGGGGAGAGCTCAGGAAGAAGGAACTGCCCTGGCCCGCAGTACAGCACACCTTGGCTACCTCAAACCCACCTTCTGCAGCACCTGATAATGCACAAAATGTAGTGACTGTAGGTCAGCACATCATCTGGGCTTGTTTACACCCACCCTGTCTGCCAAAGCACCTTTAGGAAGTCTGACCATAATTCACTGTGTGTTCTAACCTGAGTGTCTGCATAAGAACGAATTTTACCCTATAATGCACTAACTAGACTTAAATTTCCCCTATGAAAAAGACAAATGGGTTTACATAGCATGTGGTTTTAAATCCTTTTTCATTCAGTTAATCTCTAGCTGTGGAATTGTGATTGAAATGTGAAAATGTATGTGTATTTTATGATAAGAACCATTTTGCTTTAGAGACAGATGAAACATTATCAAGCGTATACACTTTCTTCAAGTTTTTAAACTGATGATGGAAATCCCATAATCAGAACATGGCACAGCCAATCCAGGTTAAGTGATAACATTTTTTTTTGACAAAATAAAACAAAACCCCAACCCTTTGAAGTGTTCTTACAGTTACATCTTCATAATCCAGACATGAGAAGATCTGCACCCCCGACACCTCTGAGCACACCCTCTTCAGCTGGCTCCACATAAAAGCCAGCCTTTCCTTCCCCTTCCTAAGTCTGCTGATTCCTTAAAACAGCAGTAAGACATGGCACAAAGCATTACCTCCACAGGATTTCCCATCTTCCCCCAGTTTCTGGCCAGCTGGACACTTGCAGTGGTAGCTGCCGATGGTGTTGCAGCAGCGGTCGTGGCAGCCGCCGTTCTCCGTGGTGCACTCGTTGACATCTGACGGGAGAAAGCACAAGCAGCCAGTGAAGAGAGGGCACTGACCACAGCACCTGAAGATCTGAGGACAGCTGTGTCTGGCTGATGTGAAAAAATGAGAGTTTCTGAGGTAAACAGCCCAGGAGCCTGAAGCAGCCCCCGAGCAGCGACTCCCAGCTACGGTGCTGAGCCCTGCTGCTCAAGCAGGTCATGCCAGGGAGGTTTAGGCTGGGTATCACAGAACATTCCTTCATTGAAAGGACTGCCAAGCACTGGAACAGGGTGCCCAGGAAAGTGGTGGACTCACCATCCCTAGAGGGTTTTAAAAGACAGATATCATAGGATCATTACAGTTGGGAAGCACCTCTGAGATCCTTGAGCCCCACCATTAGTGGATGTGGCACTTGGGGACATGGCTTAGGGGCAGGCTTGGCAGTGCTGGGTTAATGGTTGGGCTCAATGGTCTTAAGAGTCTTTTTAACCTAAAAGATTCTGTGATTCTAAGAGTTGCAAGGGTGGGATTTCCCTCCTCCCCTTCTGCACAGAAGGTGAGTGCAGAGCCCACCTGGCTCTGGCTGCAGGCTCTACCTGGCTCACCACCTTCCACCTCTGGAACACCTCTATACAGGCATTTCCAGCAGCCTCACTTGGCCATTAGGGTTGATGATGAGAAACCTCTGAAAGATGGTAGGATTTGAAATCAATTGTGGTCCTGCTTTCTGTCAGGTGCTGTTATCTACACACCTGACTTATTCACCTTGTAAGCCAGTGTTTTCCTGCATGCAAAGTAGAACTTTACACATTACAAATGAAGAACATTAAAGAACTAAATGAAAAATAATAAATAACTAAATAGCCAGTGGCAGAGAAAAAAATCAATAGCAAAGACATTCACTTACATAACTACTTAAATAGCCTACATAAGAAATTTCAAAGAAATATGATAGAAACCATCAGGCCAGCAGCGCTGCTCTGCTGAGCAGGAGCAGAGACAGCAGACTTTATGGAGGTGATTTCCAAAACAGAAAATTTGTTCACAGGGATGGTAAATGTAACAAGCCCAGCAGGTTTTTGCTGCACTGGTTCCATGCACACTGAACCTGGGAAATGCCTTCTCACTCTGCTCTCTGAAGTGCTCATGTCCCACACACAGCAGTGCAAGGGCAGGCAGGGCTGCACCTGTGTGAGAAAAATGGGCTCTGGGGGGCTTGGCTTCAATTTCTGGGCAAATGTCTTGATCTGCCTCAGTGGACATCCCATCTCCTCAAAGGCCAGGCTGAGGGTGCAGGTGACAGATCTGACAGGCCTTTGGCACTGGAAGGGAGCTCACACTGCTTTCAGGGGAGACAGCAGGAAAGTCAGGAGGAGGAGGATTAAGCAGCAGAAGATAAGCGTCATCACGACTGTGAAAACCACAGGCAGTTTGTCTTAGTGGAGCTCCTCATTCCCAAGGGGGAAATGAGGCTTTTTAAAAAAAAACATTTAATTAGTTTGTAAAGAAAAATAATAATAAAAAAGAATTTCACATTCATGCAAGAGAGGCGAGAGCCGTTCAACTGCAACCCTTTGGAGTTACAGACTACGATTTACCGAGGTTTGTTGGCTCTTTGATGAGCTCAAGCTTCACTTGACTGGTTCATTTCTGATCCTGGCTAAAAGCCACAGGTTAAAAGAAATTTTTGAGGTTTCAGACAATTAAAAAGCTAAAAGAAAAGTGCATTGTGAAACACCAACTTTTGCTGAAGTGTAGCTGAAGAGGCACAAACCCACTAAAACCATCTCATTTCCCTACAGCGTTAGATTCAACACAATGACAAACAAAATGGTAATTCCTTTGTCCTCAGCAATACTGGAAAACACTGGCAGGCTATAAAGAAATAAAACAAAATCCAGTCATCTCAGAGCTGCACAACAAACCAAATCCCGACTTGCGTGAAGCCAACGAGGCTCTTCTCGATTTCACGGGAACGCGATTTAAACAGAAACTTTTCCCCGAGAAAAACACTCCCCCCTCAACTCCTTCCTCTCCAAAAACAAACGGCACCAAAATAAGAACGTGCGTCTGCTCGCTTCTCCTTGGCAAGAGATGGGGAGAGCATATGACAGGAGACAGATTTTGGATGTGTTCCTCCAAGCGCTGGGAGGAGGCACGCGAGCGCTCGGCTCCGCGACGCGCGGTATTTCATAATATAATCCTTGCGAGGGATTTACTGCCCCCAGCTCACACCACATCCCCATGTGCCTCGTGGTAAGAAACAGCAATGAGCCACAAAACAACCCAGCTCCACAGCTTCGACTTCTGTTTACACTAACAGGATTGAAAACTAATAAAGTCCCCTTGCTCTTTTTTTTTTTAAACAAATTAAAGGAAGAGCTGCTTTATTCTCTAGTGCCCACAATGCTACGTGATGTCCTGGCATAAAATACTGACCGGGTGAGGTGGCCCAGGATATACAGCCCAACTTATTAACACCAGTGTCTATATTTTGAAGCAAAATATTGGAATAAAACCTTTCTAGCTGAGGAGCTCATCATTATTCCCTTGATTTCACCAGGGTATAATCCATTCGGAAGTGTACAGTGCTGTTGCATGCTAATATATAGGAAGTTTCTCCTTTGATTGCAGAGTGTTCCTGTTAGCAATTAAAAATCTTTTCCTTGCTTGTTCAGCATAAAATGCTGTGGGTCCAGCTATTGGTGCTGTTATGACTGAAAACTACATTTCCTCCTTCTAACCCTACCTTCTTAATGCTCTGCCCAGGATTTCCTTGTCTCTGCCTTAATATTTGTTTTCATCTTTTGATGAAATGTTTTCATGCAGTTCATTGCTGCTTTTTACACCAGAAACCCACCACTTCTTCTCTTATACTGCAAAACCCGACTTTCCATCTCCACATGTCTTTAAAACAAACACCTCATTTAAAGCTAATCATCATAAAATAAACTATGATTTAATTTCTGAGTTAAGACACCAAAAAAAGCTTTTTTTGACTTATTAGAGAGCAATCACATTTGAAGAATACACTGAGCAGGAATAAATCTTACCAGTTTTAGCCCTAATGCTATGAAAATTTGCTCTCTAAGCATCTGTATCCTTTGCTGTCCTGTCTCCTGCTCAAGACCTTCCCCACTGCCTGCTCCCTGCCAAGCTGTTTTCTGCAACTCCATAATAAAGGTCAGATGTTGCCTCAGTCCAAAGAAGCACAAAAATAAATGATCTGAATGTGAAGTTATAAAGAATGTGTTTTACATTTGTAAAAGGCTGGGTCATAGAGCTTTTACAAGCCACAATCAGCTGTTCCATATTCCTGAAACAGAGTAGACAGGATTTTAAAATCTGATTACAGCTTTGCCACTGGAAAAAAAAAAAAAAGGGAAAGTCAAAATAAACTCAACAAAAACAATTCTGTCAAATGATAAATTTCTGTCTGCTTTCCATATTCAATGTCACTCAAGGTTGCAAATATATTTTGCCTTTTGAATGGTGAGAAAAATGACAGAAAATTTCTGACACGTAACAAGTCTGCCACGTTAGGTCTGACAAAAGTTCAATGTTATCAAGCCTATCAATCCATCTGTAATGACATGCTGTAGGCACTTCAAAAATAAAAAAAGATGTTTGCTACTGCAATGTTTCACTTTTATTTATAGAGCCAATGTTGCAACACAAAAACATTATCCATGGGACATACTGGATGTGAGCCTTCAATCTTGCCATGGGAAAAATAATTGAAAACACCTTGCATCTAGATTAACTTGATATTAACTTTATATATGATCTGTCTAGCATACATGTGAGGGGGGAAAAAAATCCACAATATGTTTTAAATCCAGTAGTATGTTAAAATATGGATTGTTGGCATGTGCCCATGTCCCACACTCCCAGCACTTGTGGTATTATAGAACTATGTGAAAAGGTGCCTTTTCTCCAAAAAATCTTATAAAATACTTGATATGGAAGGGAATTCCTTTTTCTTCATGAAGCAGACCACCTTTGCCCAATTAACCCTGCCTAGGAGCTACATGCTAAATGGAGAAAGACAATTCCAATCCCTTCACTTCTCTGCTCTTGTTAATGCTATTCTATCTGAAAATGTCACACATCCTCAGCTCCAGGGAAAACAACCCTTCAGCAGGTTTTCATGAAAATGTAGGTGATTTCAGATTTCCTACAAATAAATGAAGGCTTTATGTAAAAGCAGATATTGGACAAAGTGGTTTTCATTGGTAATTCCGACTTGAAATCTAACAGCGGCGGCCTGCTCTATCACCAGCTCTCAAAAGCAGATGAAGAAAAATCAGTGTGAAAAGCAGAAATATGTATTGGCATTGGGGCAGAAGCCTCCTCTCTGAGCTGTTGGTGAGGGCTGCAGCTCTGCAGGGTCTCCACCTGGAGCTCAATTCAGCATCTTGAAAATCCAGTGAGGGATTAAACCTGCCCTGAGCACAGGCCAGAGCTCCACCAGCACCGAGCAGGGGCTCAGCTCTGCAGCAGGAAAACCACCAAGTCAAACACCACCTAAATCTGCCAACAGGTTGTGTGCTCAGGTCAGTGGAACACAGCAGTTTACTCACTGCCTACAGGATAAGGGATTTTTATTTTCCCCATACAACAAGTTTACGCCATATTCGTTAATATAAAGACTAATTTTTAAGATAACAAAGGGGATCTCATAAGTGCCACCCAGTATTTAAAGTTTCTGCATTTATCAGCTGTATATGAGCAGCAACTTTATTTATTTGAGGCAGCCACATTGAAAGTTGCCATGTGGGTGCCCAGCTCTGGGGTTAACCCGTGCTCTGACCTGTGAGCCGCTGACTCCAGCGCGTGTCAGAGCTCCCTGGACTTGTAATAAATCACTGAAGTGGAATAAAATCTCTAAAATCATTCCCATTGTTATTGCAATCCTGCCTGAACAAAGCCCACCAGCACGGAGCAGGAGGTGATTTTGATTAGTTTAAAAGCGTTAGGGTAACACACCCTGCTTCAATCAGGGGTCACAGCAACCACAACATATTTA